ATAATTAATTGTTATTTTGAATTATTAAAATATTGTATTGTATCGGTATGAAAAGTGTTTTGACTTACTCCAACGTTCTTTCACGTACGAGACGAAGTGTTGTTTGATGGAAATAATTAGAGGCAACTCAGTGGCAGTAACAAATTTCACCATTCCAGTTCAAGCTTTCTCCTTCAAATACACCTACGAGTGAAGTTGTAGAACTGGCGCCTGGACTGCCAAATTGCGACTGTGTTTGATCGGCTGGAAGAAGTCCATGTCTGGTCGTATATGCTTTGTATTGGTGGTTGAGATGGGTGGTGCCAATTCCTTTTTGTTATACCAATCTTTGGTGGCAGTATTTACATACTGCTTTAGATTTTGTGAGGCCATTGATGACTTTTCCCGTTAATATCAACTTAAAGTGATCCCAGCATTTTACTTGTTTTCGTCTTTTGCTTTCCCGTTGCATCTACAATGTTTAATTCGGGCTCTTTGTCCTCATGTTCCGTTTCGAGAATGTCAATATCATCCAAATCAATCGGATTATTTCTTCCATGATCATGAATGTCAACATCTTTAGGTATGGGCACGTCATTTAGACTGACAAATTCATTTCGAAATTGACTTTACGGCATCCTAGGCGATTCACCACATCCCGTATTGACCAAGCCTTCAACAAATGAGGGTGAATCCATTTGTTTGATTGTTTATGATGAAATTCAAATATAATAACTAGTAAAAGTATAAATGTCGTGAGAAATGAGAATTAGACGAAATTTCAATAAATGTAGTGAGAAATGAGAATTGGATGAATTGAAATCGAAACTGAATAAACTGTAAAAAATGAATTAAGTGATTTTATAAAGAAAAAAAAGGGGAGAAAAAAAAAAAAAAAAAAAAGTTCAGTGACTTTTAACGGTCACTTTTTCAAAAAAGTGACCGTTTCAATCACTTTAATATCGGCTAGTGGTTTGTTTCTCACGAGTGGCTCACCATCTGGGTGAGTTGAGTGGGCTCGGCTCTCCCAATGCTCCTGCCTGCTCGGCTCGAGCTCGTATTTTTACGAGCTCGAGCCTCCCACGAGCCCCTTTTCATGAGCCGACAAGCTGCTCAGCTCGATTGCTATCCCTACGGATATTCGATCCAATAACCTGATCCAAAGCTGAAAATTTTAGAAAAATAAAAATTTTAGTCAACTTCTAACCCTAGAATGAAAAGGCCTAGATAACTTTTTACCCAATTCTTGACCTATTTATTTATAGATTGTAAATTTTATGATATTCTTGTGAGTATCCGATGTGAGAAGTGATAAGTTGAAAATAATGAAAGTAATTCCAATGTTGGCTTCTTTGGTTGTTTAATTTATAAAGTAAATTTATTATTATTTTTATCTTATTTTAATTATTAAAAAATTAAATCTCTTCATATATTTCAAATAACAACGTTATACTATTATCTAATATTATTAGTTATTTGAAAATTATGTTTAAGTATAATACAAGTTTCAAAATGAAAAAAAAAAAATTATTATGTGTAATAAATTATGCGATAATATTAAAATATATTATATTATTATAATAAATTTGATTGGATTGTTATCGGATTGGATTGACCTATATCCATATTAGCTCCATCTAGTTAACGGATTCGGATATTAATCAGGTTATTGAACTAATGTCCTAAATCCATTCCCGTTAATTTTGTTGGATTCGGATCAAAATCTAATCTATAGACAGCCCTACACATACATCGGCGTTGACACACCCCTCACAAAAGGGAGGCCCACACTTTTTTTATTGGGTGTGGGCCCCTCCTCTTGTGAGGGGCGTGTGTACTTGCGTGTCAACGCCGGTGTATAAATAATAAAATTCTTTTTTGTCAATTATTTCAATTAGACTGGTTGCAACATACTACTACAACATTCAAATTTTTCATTGTAATTTGGGGTAAAATGACGCTCAACCAAGCGCTAAGGCCCCGTTTGATACCCATTTTTGTACGAATGAGAATAAAAAAATATAGTCGTTAGGAGACTCACATAAGAGATAGAAAGTCAAATATGGTGGTTTGATGTAATAGATAACGGTTATGTTTTTCATTTTTGTGGCCAAAGAATGGGAATCAAACGGGGCTCAATATTGATTTTGAATTGAAATTTTAATCCACTTTTTTATTAGAATAAAATAGATACTTAGCCCCCTGTTTGGGGAATTAAAATCAAAATTTTAATAAATTTTGATAATAATTGATAAAATGTATGATTGAAAAGTTTGAATTCCGTAAAATATATGATTAAATAATTTTAATCTTAAATTAAAATCTAGAGTTTAATTCATGTCAAACAGGTAATTAGTCAAACAATCATACTATATGTACATTCTTTTTGACATCGTGGTTGATTTTGTATCACGTGACGATACATGATTCGACATTTAAAAAAAAAAAAAAACATTTCACCCAACACTTTTTGAATTCCCACACAATATTCATCAAGATATAAACTAGGTAATGTAGTCTTAGCATAATATTTAGTCAAATATGCTTGAATCAAGCAACCCCAGTTAGATAAGTTTTCTTGGGATAAGAAAAAGACAGGCACAAAAAGTAGTTTCTTTCCAAAAGAGAAAGGCATTTCGTGGAATACTGTTGTTATTCTATTTCGTGCATGATATGGAATTAGGTTTCTAGAAATTGTTTCATAATAGTACTCAATCTGGTTGTTTACGGCGAACCTGGTTGTCAAAGCCGCAGGAGCCCCTTCAATAGCACCCCCGGACAATCAGGGGATTGTTCAAGTGGAATAACTCATTATTCAATTTGCCAACTTTTACTCACAGAGTGGACCCCGCCAATGGAAGCATATGAATGATGACTTTCATAGTCGTCGGAGAGTAATTTCTATTTTTTCGTTACATATTATTTTTTCACATTTTATTTTAAGGTACTCCATCTCTATTTAGTCACTACGGTTTCCATCAAAGAGTCGTTGATTTTATTTCTTTTTTTCGAAAATATTATATTGATTAGGAGTAAACTCAAGATTATGGTTCTGTTGGGACGAGACACAACTCAGTAAAAAAATTATTTCAAATAAATTGGGAAAGAAACCCAAAAAAAAAAAATAATAAAAGAAAAAAATCTGAAATTTTGAATTAAAAAAGTTGCATATATGAGAGACAGCACCCATTCGTCCCTTCACACGTCTTCCCCCGATAATGATTTAAATAAGCAAGACACATGCGTAAAAATAATCCATTGTCTTCTTTTCTAGCTGCTACATTTCCATTACTATAAAAAAGAAAAATAAAAATTCATCAATGGAGAACCCATACAATTCATCTTCAAACTCATTTTAAACTGTACAATTTTCTAATAAAAAAAGGAGAGGCAAAGAAAATCAATTTAAGAAAATTGAAAAGTTGATTATGGTGAATAGTTGGAGTTTGGAATTCCAAAAGGATAATTTAATAATTTTTTTTTTGAACTTTCTCATGTGATATCCAATATAATCTCAACTTGTTTTGTCTCAATTTTCCAAAAGATGATGCCATTATTTTCTTGAGTCAAACGAGAGTTTATAGTCATTTGAGATTTAGTTCTAAAAGATACAGATTTTCGTGTGTAAACGTACTCAAGGAACTCAATTTTATTAGGGCTCAAAGCTCGAAAATCATGAAAAAAATTATGAATTTCATGATATTTTAATTTAAAGTTTGAATTAACTTGATCGAAATAAGTCTAATTAAATTTTGGGTAAACCCATATTGACAAAAGAATGATAAGACGCTTTGACAGAATGAGTATTGGCAAGATATGATTGAATGAAAAATTTTGTCTGTGATTTAAACAGTTCAATAATATGATGTCATGTGACATTATGTTAAGAATTATGTCAATTATTATGTTACTATAGCATGATTATTAAATTTTATTTGATCAAATTAGTTAATGTAAAATAGTAACCGAGTTAGTTTATATGATTTGATTGTGTTACATTTGAGTGACATGATAATCATGAATCATGGTTAATGTTTAAATTTTAAATATAACTCAAGAAACTTACGTGTGAACCCGAATTTAATTCTAGAAACTCACGTGGGAATTATCGCATAAATTTTGTGACTAAGTAACGACCGTCAAATATTTCCCTCACATTATAAGAAGCACCCTTCCCCCAACATACTCCTCGTCTCCCCATTAAAGAAAACCTTCAGGCTTCGTCTCGTCTCACTCTTTCTCTTTCTATACGTATGTGCTTACAGTTATATAATAATATACATAGAACAGCTTGACGATAAACAAAATGGCGGATGGTGAAGAGGAGCTCTGCATTTGCCCGAGTTTCAACAGCTATACGGCAGATAGGATTGCAGAAATTGCTAGCAACGTCTCAGGACTTAACACAACCGATACTGAAAACGATGAGAATGATGAATTTGAGTTTGCTTTGGAAGCTGAAAACCAAAGGTTTTTGGCTGAGGAATTCATCTATGACGGCCAAATCAAGCAAGTGTTTCCCGTATTTAACCGCAATCTTTTGGTAAGTGATGACGATTTTGATAAAGGTTTGTCTGGTGAAGGAGTGGAGAGTATTAGAATTCCTTTGAAGAAGAATTTTATGGAGAAGTGCAAGAATGATTATCCTTCATCATCCTCATCGGAAGCCGATGAGTTGGAGACTATACCTCCGGGAACTTACTGCGTATGGAGGCCTGAATTCTCTAAGTCATCGCCGAGTCAATGTAAAAAGAGCAAGTCCACCGGATCAGGGTCGAAGCGGTGGAAGTTCCGAGATTTGGTCCGCCGATGCAACAGCGAGGGCAAGGACTCTTTCATCCTTTTAACACCGAAACACAAAGAAGAAAAACCAAAAGAAACTGTAAATTCAAAAAAATCAACAGCGAAGCGAGTCGTCTCCGGCGAGAAATCGGCGGCGAATTCACTTCATGAAGCATTTTATGTACGTAACAGAGCAATAAAGGAAAGTGATAAGAGAAAATCGTATTTACCGTACAGGCAAGACCTGGTAGGATTTTTCCCTAACGCAAATGGATTGGGCAGGAGGAGTTTTCCAGCTTTCTGGAATATGCATTGTTTTCGCAATGTTCATTATTTTCTTCCTTATAGCAAAATCAAATGTCTATTTACGGGAGAAATGTACTAGCCTTAAAGCAAATAAAAAATGACTACGAGATATACCTCTTTTTGACCTAAAAATTTAAATTAAAAATCAAATAAAAAATCCATAGTTAATTTTAATCGTATATTTTGTGGTATCTACAATTTTTAACCACACGTTCTATCAATTTATCGAAATTTATTAAAGATCTTATTTCTATCTAATTCAAACAGGGGCATAATATATTTGTTTGTGTTTAGGCGAATATATGTTATAAGATATTAAACGAAAACATGATGGGAAATGAATATATTTTTATGATGAGTTAGTTTGTCTTATGTTGGAGTTTAAAACTACCTCACTTGATCAACACGACCAACCTCTTCTAGGAAGAAAGATATTTTAAGATGAAACTCTAAATACGATATTGTTTAGAGCTGGACATGGTTCAGTTGTCAGAACCGAATCGAACATGAAATTTTCGAGTATTTAGTAAGTGGAACCATCGGGTTCGGTTCGGTTCCCAAGTTCCATATTATAATTAAATTTTTTAATATTTACAAAGTTACATTAATTCAACTAATGATATGCTTAATCTTAGTTCTCACAAAAAAAATATAGTCTAATCTTGTGCGTCTTTTGCGTCTATTTTTGCCAAGTTCATTATAGATTTGATTGTTAAAATCATAAGAAAGAAGAAGATAGCGAGCTCAAAATTATTAAGAGAGGCATTGTTGAGCTTCAATTTGATTTCTTTAGAACGATAGAAATGACATTAGGGTAAAGTAACAGATTTGGATAAAACTAAAGTCAATTTAATTAAGTTGATTTTGAACTGAAAATTAGAAATAGGAAAAATATATTTTTGGGTTTGAGCTAAATTAACTAGTTAGCAAATTTATTTAGAAAAATAAAATAATTTGAATTCGGTTCTTGAGTTCTTGATTTAGAATCGAGAACCGAACCAAACCCATCGGTTCTCGATTTAGATATCCGTTCGAGTATTTAACTTAAGAAGAATTGTTCGATTAGAGAGTTTTGTCCAACCCTAATGTTGTTTTTAAAAAATAGTGGTATTTTCTTGAATTGATAACAATATTTCGATTAACAGTTTTGAGTACAAAAAATAAAGAGCCACTATTTGTGTTGTATCATAGGATTCACTGTTCTGTTGTATGAGCCTATTTTATCATGGGCAGAACCAGAAATATCGTCCAATGGGAGCGAAGTTTAATCAAAGTCGAACTTTGAGTTTTCAAGACCTGAGACAAACTTTAAATGTGGGCCTTTAAATTAAAGTATGCAATATGCATCTAAATTTTTGTTAACTAATCTATAAACTTTAAACTCAATAAAGATATAATCTATCGTGGAGTGTAAGCCGGGAGAAAGCGGAATGATGCAAGCAACTTGAAGGTTCCAGATCTATACCAAATACCAGAAATTATACTAGAATTACAATAGACCCTCAAATTGTTAAACCACATAAAGTCACAAACGGTAAAAATGTATTTTAAAAGAGGAAATTGGGTACAATATAAATACGAAGCTTGACACATGAAATTAGGGTTAAGGGCTTAGATGGAAAGAATGAGGGTAGAGGGAGATTAGGAGTTTCTAAAGGGTAGTTGCCTCTCCCTTTTACCCAATGATTTCTTTTTTTAACCCAAAACCAACAATCCTTTATGTTCTATATGTATCTATCAAAAATATATGCTCACAGAAAGACAAGAGACTGGGAATTCTAGTTGATCTCTTGTATGGTTTCTTTCTTGTTGGTACATATTTTGTTGATTATCGAAAGTGGGACTTGTATACCACTAACTAATTGTTTGGCAAAGCTCTTTTTAGGGATCATTTTTGCTTGAGAAACGTTCAGTGCAAGTATATGCTTGCACACTTGGCTTAAAGTGAGTTCGTCCCTGTATTTTATAGAGTAATGCTTTTTAGCACACATGTTTAATTAAATTAAAGGAATTATGGTTCTTTTAATATGACCCTCGACATGCTAATACTTAGATTGATGTTCTACACTACTAATATTAGATATCATTATTCTATATATTATTCTTCATTTGTACCTCCATTTGTTCATTGGTGAGGGAGGTACTATGTTCGTATCAAACAAATGACAACTTGAAGCCAACAAAAATCGAGGTTTGGATTTGTGTTTGCAACATATGAACAATTATCATGACAACTAGATTTGAATTGACATACTCGTTTTAAAATTATTGCACAAAAAATTCCAAAAAACTTAACATCTAACCCTTTTATGACTCTCTTTATTTTAAAACTCTTTATTTTTTGTACCGAGTCTCTGTTTGGCTCTCTTTATTTCTTATACTCATTTTCAAACACGCATTCACACAATAAAATATTTTGCATGTGAACCCAAAATTATTTCCTACTTTTTAATCACATTCTTCAAAAATTACTATTTAAAACTTTATTTTTCCCTAGTAATTTCTCTTTGTAATGGCCATCAAACTAGGGCTTATTTTCAATCACACAATAAAATATTTTGCACGTAAAACTAAAATTTTTCTATACTTTTTAACTCCATAATTTGAGGATGAAAATGGTTTGATTTGGACGGCGTAAGGCAAATTTTCAAACCAAGTGGTCTGAAATTTTTCCAAACCAAACCAAATCATCTCACTTTCTTAGCAAACCAAATCAAACCACTTTTTTTTGGGTTTGATTCAATTTAAAATCCCAGTTTAACAAATAAAAAGATAACATATGTCGAACCAGTTAAATCATAATTATTAGTTTAAAAATTGCATTATAACTTAACTATCTACATCATTAAAAATATTATACACTAAAGTTCAAAACATCTAATAATTACAATGCAACAAAATGAAAGAACAATTTAGTTTTAACAAATTAGCTGATACTAATTGGGGCAACATCTTCAATTGTAACACATGATTTGTTCTTTATAAAAAGATAAAAATAAATTGATTTAGTTATAATTATATTGTATAAGGCAACTAATATTAAAGAAAATGAATGAAAAGATCAACTTCTATAACCTACTCTGAATCTTCAAATGCTTCCACCTCATTCAAATATTAACAAATCATGCTGTACAACCAATTCTTAGTGCAAATTATTGTCTTAACCATCTTTGCACTCAATGAACTCCTAAAGGAATCAAGAATCCAACCACTAGTACAGAATGTAGATTCAAAAGTAATTGTGGATATTTGAATAGCTAACACATCTTTGACAATTTGGAAGACAATTTTATACTTATTTGCATTCAATTTTTCCAAAGTAATATGCCAAAAGGCTCACTGGTCAAATCTTTACAATGATTATTTAAGTAATCTATCAAATCATTCTTTTCGACATGAGCTTCTTGCAAAAGTATAGGTTTAAAAATTGAGGGAATAGGTTTAAAAATAACCAAATTAGTTTGTGAAGAACTTGGGCTTCCAAGTTGAGCAGCATGCTTAGATGGAGCTAATGGTGAAGTCATCATTTCCTTGTAACGTTCATTTAACTTGTGAAGTATTTCTCAACTTTCATTAACAACATGTTTGCTATTTGTACATCATAAATAACTTCAAACCCAACATTAAGCAATTCCAACTTGCATATGGGGTTAATAACTATTCCAATGAATAACAATTGATTAAACTTTTCAAGATTAGCCCTATAATAAATTGATCTACAATGTTACGTACTTAGGTTGCATTTGCCATATTGTATTAGACAGTATAAAATTTTTATTATAAAATATAAACAAGGAAGTGAATAATATTATGTTGAATTAAAGTAAATAATATTCTCTAATCTTTAAACATTTTCAGTGTTATCTTGTTACCGTTGCTAATAAATTGATATACTCTAACTATGCCCTATAAACAAAGTTATGGAGAAATAAAAAATCAATTAGTTGCTTGCTTTCAATTGAGAAGTGATATTCGATAATTTTTGTTTTTGAGTAATAAAAGTATTTAAAAGTAACCTTACAAAATTTTAAACTTAGTCCTTATTCAATTTATATTAAAAAAAATTCAAAATTTTAGTAGATTTTAATAAAAGTTGATATAGCCTTTGTTTGAGCCTCATTCTTTTGAAAAAAAAAAAAAGTAATTTTCAATAGTGTTTTGACATTATTTCAAACACACATTTTTCAAAAAAATAATATTATACGCAAATTCAAAACTATTCCTTATTTTTTAACCACACATTTTTCATCAATACACTATTCAAAAATTTATTCTTTTCCCTCAAAATGGGGCTCAAACAAGGGCATAATATATGTTTGAACAGTTGTATATCTCGTAAAATTTGTAAAGAACATTAATTAAGTGCCTCTTTTGGAGCCATTCTCCCCAAATTTAGGCCTAGTTTGGGAGTGATTTTTCACCCAAAAATCTTGATTTTTGACCTTTATTTCACTATTTCAGTTGTAATTTTTGACTTCTTCTCTCACAGGTACCCTCACTTTTCTCATAATGATCAAAAAAATCAATTTTCAAAATCACTACCGAACAGGCCCTAATGAAAAATTGGCCACTGTA